AAAAATCTTCATCTATAAAATAAGCTAAGACTCATGAATCTAATAATTTAAAAACTTTGTGATTTTTAGATCCTAAACACACATCTATTATAAAACAAGGTGAAAGATTTGACAAGAAAATAAGACCTTTATTAGTTGTTGCACATGATTCCAAGTGCATGGTCCTTATTATAATTGGAAAAAATTATTTTCTAATAAATTTTCTTCTTTAATAACTATGCTTGTCATTTTTTGATTGTATTACTTCTTTGGATAATGTTGAGTAGTATGTTTAGTTTTTCCACAATATAATTATAAACCCTCTTGATGATATCAAATCTTTTTTCTGCTCTGTGAAGGATATAAAATATACCATATAAATTTATATTTGTTCCGATCTTGATGAATAAATTTTTAAAAACTTAAAAATTGCCATCATTACTTGACTTGTTCTTCTTCAACCAAGTCTTTATTCTTAATGCCTTTCAAAAAATCAATTATCGCATGCAATGGCTTAAGCAATAAATTATTTTAAAGTTTTTTTTTTTAGCATTATTAATAATAAAATTTCATGTTATTCTTCAATTTATATCAAAATTGATTGATAAGAGCTTTGCTATTTTAGTCCTTGTTGTAAGAAAGATTTTGAAATTCAACAACATATATGGTAGTTGATTGTGATCCTTGTTGTAAAGATAAAAGCTTCATCTTTGCTACTCTTTCTTGATCACTCTCTCCAAATGTGATTGTTAACACTTTTAGGAATGAATTTAAATCATAAAAAAAACTTGAATCCTTTTCTATCAAAATGTCACAAATATATATATATATATATATATATATATATATATATGTATTCTAGTAAATACATATATGATTAGCTAGGTGTAGATAAAAAGTAGGTTAATTTCATAATACCTTCTAAGAAAGCTTCCTAGAAGCTTCATAGATGTTGTTTTGACTTTACATATATTTAAAGTTGATTGGTAGGTTAGAAACTTGGTCAATAAGTTAATTACATGCTGATAGCTTAGTGAACAAGCTAACTATGTGGCTTACATATAGAAAACTTGCCCTACAAATTAAAATATGTATCTTGTAAAGTCAACACATTTTGGAGGTCTTATAGGATATTGCCATATACCTCTTACTTAAGAATATATATGGAGGCAAGAGTAAAGTCTTTTTATTGCAAAAATCTTTATAAGAGTATATTAAAGATATTCTTTCTTTGAAATTCATATTCTTGATACTAAGATATAAATCAAAGGAGAGCACTTCTAAATAGAAGTGTGTTTATGAATCCAACTTCAGTAAATCTATTAGGATATTGGAAGAGATGCAACCTTAGATAGAGCTTGAATTATTGCAAAAATCTTTGAAATTTTTATCTTATTCCATCAAAATTCTTGGGCATATTAATTCTTATCTCAGTTGTATTTGTAGAAGCAAAAATTTTTGGATTTGGTTGTGAGGCTAATCTAATTACTTCCTTCTACTGCACAACTTCTTAGCATAGACTTTTGAACTTCTTCCATATGTGTAGGAATAACACCTCTATGATTCATATGAGAAATATATAATATTTCTATTAATAGAGTATTAATAAATTCATAAAAATCTATAATAGTTAAAAATCTACTCTCATTTTTTATAAGAATAGTTTAGGGTTTAGGATCTTTAAACTTGGTTAGAATAGTTTAGGGTTTAGGGCCTAGAATAGTTAAAAATCTACTCTCATTTTTAGTCTTTATTTTTATAAAAAATTCAAAAAATAAAAATATTAAATTAAAAAAAGATAATCTGCAACCTTTAATATCAAATGGAAGTTTTTACAAGAAGAGTAATCCACTCTCTTTAAGAAAAAAATTAATGTTAAAAAATTAAATTATTTATTTAATCATATATAGTTTGGAATCTTCAAAATACAACAATAAAAGTAGGATAATCTACTCACTTCTAAAATATGATAAAAATAACAAATTAGAATTCTTTTTAAATTATCAATGGTATAAATCTCAAAGAATTAAAAGGTGAATATACTGTTGTATCACTCAAAAAAGACTAAAAAATCATTCAAAGATGATATGGTATTAAACTAGAATAGCTCTTGCCAAAGATAAGAAGACTAAAAAGTCTTGAAATAAGACTAAGAACTAGAAAGGCATGGATAAGATGGAAGAAGGCTTCACTCTTGCTTCTATATATACTATCTAATTAGGAGCTACGTGGGAATGTTCTATAAGACCTCCAACATGTGTTGACTTTTCTAGACACATGTGTTAACTTGTAAGGAAAGTTTTCTATAAGTGTACGACATAGCTAGCTTATTCTACAACCTACCAACATGTATGACATGTGGTTAACTTGTTGACCAAGTTTCTAACCTATCAATCAACTACAAACATGTGTAAAGTCAAAACCACGTTTAAAAAGCTTCTAAAAAGTTTTTCTAGAAGATATTATGAAATTAATCTATATTTATATACTTCTATTTAATCATATAAGTAATTATTGGATTAAATATATGTATCCGTGATACTTTGCACTTGTATAACTCAATGTAAAATCAATAGAATGATTTGAAATCTTTTACAATAGATTACATATCTTATCTTTTTTTATTTTTTAAATTTTAAATTGATTAGTGAATTGAATCGGCTATAATAAGTAAATCTCTTAAGTTTTTATTTATTTATTTATTTATTTATTATTATTATCATTGTTTCTCTTTCACAATCCTATTTTAAGTTAATTTTTTATGCATATCTCTTAAACCAAATATTATAATGTTTTAAAACTTAGCAAATAAGTTTTTGACTTAATAAAACAACTATACTCTAAGTATTATAATTATAGCTTTCATAAACATCAAGTTATGATCCCTCAAAGTTGTGGATAAAATTAATTAATTTGAAAGAAATAATATTATAAAGTATTTAAGATATTATATGAAAGAAATAGAATTAAAGCATGTTTTAAAAAAATGGATTTATTTATTTGAATTAGCTTCTAATCTAAAAATAAAAAATCATGTCAAGTCTATTATAGAATATTTTAGATATTTAAAGAAGAAAATTTTCATGCATTGAAGAATAAATATTTTTTTGATGATAGTAACCGAGTTATAAAGAAATTATTTTTTAAAGTGGATTATAAGGCCTAAAAAGGATCTTAAAGCAATAAATTTATTTAGGAAAATTTAAAAGATGATATTATCAAAGAAAAATAGAAAATTATTAGATTCAAGCAAAGTGGAGCTTTTTCTTCAAGTAGTTAATGTAGAGTTGCAAGAAAATTGTAAATTTTACTTAAAGATAAAGAAAAAATAAAAAATTGGCGATAAATAAGAAATAAATAAAAGAGACAATAAAATTGCTTGCTAAAAGAGAAAGGAAAAAAAATTATGATATGTATTCAAAAACCATTGCAACTATTTGAGATAAAAATGTCTACTACCTATCTTACATCTATGATTCAACCTTCAAAATTTTAAATATATAGTCTATTAATAAATATTTAAATTAAAGACTTTATTTTTTTCAAAATTAAGTGTATTTTTTTTTATAGTTTTATTACCATCTATGTATTAAGATATTTTAATGAAAGAAATAATAATTGAGATTTTAATGTTATATATATATATATATATATATATATATATATATATATATATATATTCTTAAATAAATTTATAATGCAAATAAATTATTAGCAATATACCAAAACAATTATCTATAAAACAAACTAAAATAAATTTTATTCAAATATATAAATTTTATTATAATCATACTTTATTTTTTAAATATAATATATATATATATATATATTACTATATTTAAAATTGATTGGCTTCAAAATACTTATAAGAGTATTAAACAAGCGAAAGACCAAATACCAAATAATAATAAGATTAAGAAAATATTGAAGTTAATTTTAGTTGAAATATTAATATACACTTTATAATTATATTTCAAACTCTATAAGAATTAGAAATTTTATTGCATATATGTATACGTATATATATATATATATATATATATAATTTTTTTTTTTGCAAGAATTACAAAATTAAAATCAATTTTTTTGAAGACATGATAATCTCTTAACATATTGATCAATTGAATATCTCTTGGCAATTTCAATTCAACCTCTCCATTATCGCAAAAAAACAAATAGCAACTGATCAAAATGTCTACTTGCAAGATAGCAACAAGCATCTTCTTTGTTGCTAAGTTAAAAAATTTTACAAAAAGAACTCAATAAGTGGTTGGTAGTTGAGACTCTATAGACAGATCTTGTAAAGTTGGGAATATATATACATATATATATATATATCTATATATGTTTTCTTGTTTATTGTTGCAAATAGATGAAAACATTTGATCTTGTTTTGTAAATGACTTTTTTTTATGTGTGTGTGTGTACACAATTTTTTTCGGTGTCAAGTATGTTGTTGGCAAAAGGTGTAAATTATTCAGGGTGTAAAAGCATTTTTAGATGAATATGTGAATGTTTTGGGAACCACATAGAACGGTGTCAGGTGCTAATAGTGTAGCGGATGAAGGCGTGGGGAACTAACAATGGAGGAAAGGGGCGGGATGTGATGAATGAGGAATGAATGAATGGATGCGTGGGAGAAAGGTAGGTGAGAAGGAAGGAGGGAGGGAGGGAGGGGGATGGATGGATGAGAACGAGGATGAACAAATAGATGGATGAGTACAAGGATGAACGAATAGATGGATGAGTACAAGGATGAACAAATGTATGGATGAGTACAAGGATGAACAAATGGATGGATGAGAGGAGAAGAATGAAGGACGGGTGGGAGAGAGGTGCTTCAAGGATGATGATGATGACGATGGTGGGTGGGGATTGCCAGGGGGCCCTGCAATGTCTCCTTCGGAAACTGTGTGTGTTGGGGGGATGCTTTTTTTTTTTTTTTTTTTTTTTTTTTTTTCCCCCCCCCCTCTTGGTCTTTCTCCCTTTTCTTCCCTCCTCCCCTTGCCCGTTGCCTTCTCTTCTTCCCCGTCGTCGTTCCCTTCCTTCCTTCCTGCTCTGCTTCTGCTCTGCCCCTGCTTTTGCTCCTCCTGCTCCTCCTCCTCCTCCTCCTAACACCCCCCCCCCCCCCCCTCCAATACTCCTCCTCGTGCTCTGCATGCCACGCCCTGCTTGTGCAATTCTGCATCCCCACCCCCTCCTTGCTTGCCACTCTATTCCTCTTGTCCCCCTCCGAATCCTGTGCTCTCTCTTCTCCCCCCGCTTCTCGTTTTCTTCGTTAATTGGGATCTGCTGAGGTTGCACTGCCCCATCACGGGTGTTTGCTGGGGGATCGCAGCGAACCGGGAATTGGGTTCAGGGCGATGGCCACAACCGGCGCCAATCACATGCAAGCTAAGCTTGTGAGTAGTTTTTTCTTCTCTTCGGGGCGTTTTTCAAGCTTTGTACTGTTCATTCCACGTAGGGTTACAGATAGTAGGATTCGTGTCGGTTGCTTTCCTGAGGGTTCCGTTGTATCCATTTCGTGGCAGGTTTTGCTTGGAGACATGGGAGCCGGTAAATCGAGTCTTGCTCTACGTTTTGTGAAGGGCCAGTTCTTCGATTATCAGGTAAGGGTGGTGAATTTGTTAAATGACAATTTGTTTCCGAACCTTATGTTTCTTTGTGTAGAGTTTTGGAGTTTGTGTCTGGAGTGAGCGATTTGACAGGAATGAATACAAAGCATAATTTACGTGCATAACCTCTGGCTGCGCGTGGATTTCTGATACATGTCGATAATTTGCATGCAAACAATTCGCAACTGCAGGAATGCTTGTGGGGAAGTCTTTGCAGGACCTTGCATGATTGGTGCTAATGCAATTGGACTCCAGTGTTCACTATGATAAGAAATTAAAATATAATAAACCTGATAGGTTTAGTAGCTTGAACGAAATTTGAGCAGCGGTGGGTCATTTATGCAGGAATCCACTATAGGTGCAGCTTTTCTTACGCAGACATTGGCAGTCAATGAGACAACCGTGAAATTTGAGATATGGGACACAGCTGGACAAGAAAGATACCACAGCCTTGCGCCTATGTATTACAGGGGTGCTGCTGCGGCTATTATCGTATACGACATCACAAATTCTGTATGTAGTTTAGAATCATCTGATTCTTTGCAATTAAATCTACGGCATAATATCCTTGTCGGTTGACTTGGGCATCGTCTTTAAAAATTGGATGTACATCTTCTGGCTACACATTATCTTTCCATGCGGATCCGAATTAGAATGATGTTAGTTGGGGTTGGGAGAAATTGAGCTAACTTTCTGAGTCCGTCCGTGCCTCCATCACGTTATGCGCAATCGTGTTCCAACGACAGAATCGTTCGCGGCGTACGAATTAAAAGTCGATGGCTTTGTGTAGCAGTTGCTAATCTGCTTATAATGTCTATAGGCCGCGAGTGTCACACAAATGAATCCTGTATGAGAAGGTCGCTTTCTTCAAGCGTGGCCTTTGTTAAGTTTGTAAAGTTCATGATCATTGTCTTTTCTGAGTTTCAGGATTCTTTCGGGAGAGCGAAAAAATGGGTCCAGGAGCTTCAAAGACAAGGTACCGAGCTGTATCTTGCTGGTTTGCCTTGTATTTTATGGATTATACTGCTTGTTTGAGCATGTTTAGTTGGATGAATTTGCAACTTAGTTTGGACGAATTTACAACATCGTTCTCAACGATCAAGGGTCTTCAAGTTTGTTGATCGGCCTATTGTACAGGCAACCCCAATTTGGTGATGGCACTGGCGGGAAACAAGGCTGATTTATCTTCGAAAAGAAAAATTGAGGCAGAGGTTCGTTACACTCGTCTCCCCTTTCGCACATCTGAAGGAGACCTTGTATTTTGAATCTGTCATTAGGTTTTTCCTGTGAGTGGCTGGGTTTGACAGAATGTCGTGATCACAGGAGGGTCAATCCTATGCCGAGGAGAATGGACTGTTCTTCATGGAGACATCAGCCAAAACATCTCAAAATGTGAACGAGTTATTTTACGAAATCGGTACGTGCTCTCTTTCCTTATTTACTTTGGTTCCAGTTTAATCCCATGTTTGGTATATAGATCTTTGTGCTTGTTTACATGGTGATGAACTGAGTTTGACATCATAGTTGCGCATACCTGAAGGATTGCCTTTAGCGTCCCATCATCTAAATGGACAATAAGATCATTTATTGCGTTTCTCTTTCTGTTCCTCGTAGCTGTTTCCTATACGTTCCTCAAAGCACCCCATTCATATCATGTAATTTCATTGGAATGTCATTGAGTTTTGGTTCTACTATTGGCCTGACTTGTGATGATGTCCGCAGCAAGGAAGCTACCTAAAGCGCAACCTGCACAGGCATCTGGAATGTCGCTTACAGATGGGTCCACAAGCCGCCTTGGTCCTGCCAAAAGCACATGTTGCGCCTAAGACAATCTCAAGCGTCCTGGTCCTGGCAATAGTGTTTGCTTCACTTCAGGATGTCAGGTTCAAGAATAAGTACAACAGGCTGTGCAGGCCCCGTGGTGATCAGGTTAGTTAGTGTGTCATGGCATTGCGGGTTGATTGTATCAGCAACATGGATGAAGATTGAAGGGCAATAAGTGCAGCTGCTTCGTTGCAGGTGCTCATTGTGCATGCACGTCGGAGTGCTTGTGGAGTGTCTTGCTCACTCTGGCATGGTTGTGTACAAAGTTTGTCCCTGCAGAATAGCATAGAACGGCCGTGTGAGTGTCATATGTACAGGCTTGTTATCACGAAGCCATTCGTTTAGTCGCATCAATGCAGACGTGCGGGTCATATTTTAGAAGCGTATATGCTAAATTTATTTGTACTTTGAATACGCATGAGAAAATGCGTCTTTTTTACATTTGTGCTCGAGTAGTTAGTTGCATGTGCGGTGGTCCAATCTGCTTTGAAGTTTTAGCTTGTGCTGTGAACTGTGAAAGAATGTGAGGCATGGCATAAACTTTGAAAACTTTCTACTTTTGTGATGCTCGGATCTGCTATTGTAGATGCGCTTTGGATGATTTCACTCACGGTAATTGCTTGAACTCATGGGATCTTATGCAGCATTCTTTCAATGTATACTACCTATCTGTTTCAGAGGCAAACAAAATAATGTACCAAGTAGGTTTTGGTAGGTTGAACCCCATCTGCCTTGGTAGACATGGTATTGAATCTTTTGCTAATTTTTCCTACCTGATTTATACTCTACCAAATTTACTTGAATGTGGTTGTTTATTTCACAGTATTATACATGTGTCCCTCTTGAAACCCCATGCTTGATCAACCTTCAGTTGCTATCAGTCTGTTCCAAATGAATATGATATGTGCATTATGGTGTATGTATCACAGAATGATATCAAGTCTATCTGCTCAAAATGCACAAAACTGTAGTTTGCAGAAATACAACTATTTCATCACATTTAATATGAATATTTGATACAAGATTGTTTTAATAGAGTATTATATTGACAACACCCTCAATTTAATGAGAATTATTTTCAACAATCAGCAATAAGTTAGGGATAATATTTAAATTTTTCAAGGAAAAATAGATTATCGTAAAATTACTGTAATTCTTTTTGTTAATAGTTATAAAGTTTTCATTCATATTTCGAAATTAAAATTACAAATTATGCATTTTCTTTCATTTGAATAAACAGAAATTGTTCCTAATGAGTGTACAATACCAATCATGTTTCATCTCGTTTTTTTAGTTTATATTATTTTTATTTTATTATTTATTTATTTATGTATAGTAGATAAGAAACTAACTAAGCTGAGTTTTTTCAGTGGTATAAAAAATATTATTCTGGTCAAAAATATGTACTAACTTTCTTCCCAATATGTTAACTTTAATATAAGTTGGATTCTATGATTAATTTATAAACATTCTCAATGAATAAATGTACTACAACAATTGTTTTGTTACTGGACTTAAGGGAAATGAAAAAATAAAAGAAAACAAAAGAAATAAGTCTCAACAGATGTGTTGGATCACATTGGAGTATCATTCTTGAAAAATTTTCATTGATAGTGAAAAATAAAATAAATATAGTAAATGAATTAATAAATATATAAAACACACATAAGAATTAACTAATAGATGATTAAAGTTCTTGAAACATTAATATTAGTCATGGTAAACTTTATCAATTTAATTTTTGTCTTAATGCGACATTGCCATGTTTTATTTTATTTCAATATTTTTCATTACATAATATTTTACCTGTTCTAAAGATTTTGTAAATAACAGGATTTATCATGAATCAGTTTTTTAACTACAGATTTTTATATTATAATAGTGGTGTGTTGTATATTTTTGTGTGATACAAGATGTACACAGTAAAAGTTTTAGATATGTGCATTCTAAAAGATTAAGGTAAAATCACTAATCAATATCTGCATCGTTTTTGCATTGTGTTCAAAATATCATAATGTTTTTTAAAAAATAAAACTATAATAATTATATTTATATGAAATTTCTTAATTAATAATTATATTCAAAAATTAGATATGTGAGGGGGCATAAACTAAAATTAAATTTGACAGATACATAAATAGTTGGCAAAATGTAAAGACGATAAATTGGCCATGACTACCATCTTTAATACTGTTGAGAGAAGTCATAACAGTTTTTACCATGTTGTGTTCTACAAATTCATAATTTCTCAACATATAGTATGTCAAAGAATATATTTTTTTAATAATAAATAAATCAAAATATTTAATTATGTTAGGAAAAAAGAATACCAAAAATATTAAATTTATAGTTTCATTTATAAATTTATGGACATGTACAAACGTTTAAGGATATAAGTATAATTATTAAATAAAAAAATAACTTAGTTGTATTAAAGAAATATGATATAATTAAAATATAAAGTATCCTATATTTTTAATACTAATTTTAAGTAAATATAAACATTTAAATTTTATATAATTTAAAAACCATTATCTTTAAATGCAAACAAATTAAGGCAAAAAAAATTAACTGAAATTTCAGTAGCCAAATAGCCATAGTAACATTATTTATACAGAACTTAAATTTAAAATGGTATCTGCAACTCCGAGAAAATGAATTAAGAAAAAATAGTTATTACTATTAAAGAAATTTATCATAGAAAAGAAAAGTAAGGATTTAATCATTTTAACATTGTTTATTAATTTTTATATCATAATTGAATAATATAAAAATAATAAGATTAAAGAGGTGTAATATTATTTTTAAATTGTATGTAGATAGAATTTGTAAATAATTAATTGTTAAAAAAAATTATATAAAAGCTTAAATGGCAATTGGTTGCAACTTTATATGTTACATAATTAGAGAACAAAATTTTATACAAACCATCTAGTATATAAATGGTAATTTTTATGTTATTGTGATGAATTTTTGATTGGTAGATTTAGTAGTCATCTCTTTTTAGAAAATGTGATATAAGTATGATACACAATTAGAAAAATAAAAAAATAATCATGTTAATAATTATATTATTTACCCATTAGATACTTTAATCTCTTATAATATAAAGCAAGCAACTAAACATTGCATAGATATGATCATTTAAAAAAGAAGATATTTTTAATGTTAAGATAATATATTAAACATGTGTTTTGCTCCAATTTGTTGAATATTGAATATTAAATGATATGTATAAAATTTATGTACATTATTTTGGTTATTAAAATGGAAACCCCATTTTATAAAAAAAAAAAAAGTCATTCTATTAAGCTGTACAACAAGGTTAGACACTAACCTACGAATATATTATATACTAAAGCTTCAAACTTATCCTTGGCATTTAGAGTTTCGAAATGTTGACATGTAAATCTTGCAAAACATGTGAAATAGATTTGTTGAAACGGAAGCACAAACTTCCTATATTTAGTTTAAAATTTGATACAATAATTAGAGCATTGACTACACGAGAATATGCACGTTATTGTTTTTCCATCAACCAATGCTGGATGTAGAGTCAGTTGTTTATCAACTCACAGTCATCAATCATTTACGAATTTACTTCTTGATGTAGTTAACTGCCAATTCTGGACCAGTTTACCTCAATTGACAGATGTGACTTGTTTATGTACAGGAACAGCGCGAATTTCAAAATCGAAACCGAAATTGGCAGATTACTGATCTCGAAACATCACCAATTTGATTATTGACAGAACTTGCAGCGTAGGATGCTCGTACAAAATTAGGAGCAGAGTGATATCTGCACGTTTTCTAAGCCGTAGAGCTTCATGAGATGTGTTCAAGTGGGCAGATAAGTAATGAAGGCGATGTGGAAATCATGTAGGGCACAGAATATAAAATATGGAGAGGACTCCACTAAGCCATTCATTCGGCTTTGATGTTTCTGCTCTACAAAAACACAGGATGTTCACGACGTGCAAATAGGGAATGGGAAGCAACAGCAGCAGAGCAAGAGACAAAAAGGGGATTAAAATTATTAATACTGATCTGCACGGTTGTTGATGTGCTTCTTGTAGTTGGGGTTGGTGATGGGGACCTCGTCTATTTCCTGAGAGGAGAGAGGGCCGGGCTGATAATTTTGGCTGGGCTTGTAATCACTGTAGTAGTTCTGTTTGGGTTGATGGTCTCGGGGATCCGCTTCCCTCCTCCGGGACTCACTGTGCTGCGGGGCGTACTGTCGTAGGAACCCATCTGGCAAGAATCGCCCAATGTCATGCCCCAGGCGACGAAGCTCACCATCCAATTCAGTCATGTCTTGATGCAACTCCCGCAAAGTCATATCCAGCTCTCCTGGCTCAAAGTCGCCATATGTACGCACCTGTGGCGGTACTTCTGAGGGTCCGCCTGCACTCCCTCGGGGATATGCATGCTCGCCTCGAGGTTCGCTATAGCCTTGGAATTCATATGCCGCTGCTACACGAGGGTCCACGGTTCTGTAAGCGGGCATGGTCCCTGGCACCCTCGCCCTATCTGATGCTCGCGAAGCATGGCCAGTGCCTTCACTAAAGCCCCGTGACCCGTACTGAGGTCCTAACATTTCTCGAGAGGACTCGCGCTGAGCGTAATCAGGTTGATGATAATCCCTTGGACTACGGGGACCGTGATCAAGTGCCTGCCTTGGACTTCGTGACAAGTGCTGATCTTGTTCGCGAGGACTTAGAGGCCTGTTCTGCTCAGGATATTGCCCTCTAATTGGGCTTAATCGTGGTTCTCGAGGATCGCTGGATATTAAGTTGAGCTCTCGTGAGTCCCGTCCAGTTCGAACCGGAACTAATCACTCCGGAACTCTCGTGCCTGATCGAGGATGTTGCTCTGGTGCACGCCTATAACTTGTAGCCCCTATTGATCTCTCATCACGCGGATCGGTCTTGCGAGGATCCACTGTGCGCATATCACGTGGGTCGATGGTCCTCGTCATTCGAGGGTCAGCTGGACGCATCATTTCTCGATGGTCTACTGATTCAGCTGGTCTTCTCATGTGGGGATCCATGAGTGGCAGCTGATCACGACGGTCAGTAGATCTCGTGGCATGTGGGTCGAAGGGGCTTCCATCACAAGTGTGGTAAATTGGTCGCATTTCATCTCGGGGATGAACTGGTCGCTGCATTTCGCGAGGGTCCATGGGCCTTCCGTAAGGCGGTGTGAGTGGGCGCCCTTCACGAGGATCTGTGGCAACTGAGTGCATCACAGAAGAACCTGAGAGTTGCTTACCACGAGGTGATGTATTAGAATGCATTGCATCAGGTGGCTCATGGGCTGCAATAGACCTAATGTTTCCATCATGAGGATCAGTTGCATGAGCTCTCAAGGGATCGACTGAAGCGTCGGCGTGAACAAAGACAACTTTCTGAGGGCCTTCGTGCCCATGCTTTCCAGCTCCAGGGAACTCGCCATGACCGTGCGTATCCCGAGGAACAGGCGATCTATCTTGAGTATTCTGTATACTCCCCCTGGTCTCTCTCTCGACCTGGTGTACTTCTCGAGGCTGCACAAGCGGTCTCCCATCCTTTGTATCAACTGAAGAAGGAATGTCAGTTCTCAACTTTGGACAGCTTTTGTGTTCCAATCCTGCAGTACGACTTTGAGCATGCAATGCCGGGGGATCAACGGAAAGTAATGGATGCGCAACCTCTGCCCCGTCGAGAGTGCGCCAAAACATTGCGTGCTTGTCAAGATGCCTCCTCATTTTCTTGAGCAAGGCATCTGCATCGGCTTGACCATACACCGTCACTTTGCTCTCGCTCCTCTCCGTAATGACCCTCACCACTCCTGTTTCACATCATCGGCTCTCAATTTGTGGATTCTCAAATTACCTCACATTTGGCAATCCTATGTGCGATACTGTCCAAATCCATTTAATATCAGCAAGAAGATAGTATTTAACCGACCTACCTGAAACTTCCTGGCATTCTTCTCTTGCCTTCTCTTCGCATTTAGGACAACACATTTTTACGTTCATCACCACCACCTGCATAATTGTCGTGGTAATGCAACTGGTAACATTATATGTTCGTTTGTGGCGATCATTTAAAAGCATGGTAGCAAGAATAACTGAAGCTATCTCATATTTCAACCTAAATGCAATGAAATAGGAATGCATACTGGTTTTCGCTCCATTGGGTTTTTGTTCCTCTGCACGTTACAAAACAAAAGTTACTATGCCCGCCGTAGCACGAGGCCAAGCGAAGACCAAAACCTGCGTAGTACTTGTAATCAATCGATTACAAAGCTCAAGAGCTGGTTCAGTTGTCAAGCCCATCTTGGGTTCGCATCCATGGAACTCTGTGAAACTACCTGAATAAGAAAATGGAAAAGGATATTCGGAGACGGATGACAAAAATGACCAGGTTTCTGCATGGCTAATATTCTGAGATTCCAAAGCAACAACTTTTCAGCTCTCTCAAAATGTAGCCTCAATAAATGAAATAATACATACACGGAATGTTAATCTCGCGAATGGAGATCAAAGCCTCTGTGCGGGCATCCGCGTAACCCTTACATAATTTGTAAGCACTCGAGCCGGCTTAATAGCAATGGTTTTGAAACAGAGTTGATGAGCACTGCAAGTCGAATTCCACTGTGCATCACCAAATATATGACCTCTGCCCATGCCCCATCACCATTGACTGGAAATACTTGTAAGCTAAAGGAAGTTTCAGAAGCATACCCCTGTCTCTAGAGCCACGTTCATCTGAATATTGTCACTGATTTTGATCCGAATTGTCCGAATAGAAACAAGTTTGACCAAATCTAAGTCCTATGTTCTGTTGGTGGCTCTCTCGGGATGTGGGAAATTAATCAACATGTTCGCAAATAGCTCGCTCTGTCCACGTCAAAGCAAATTTGCAAAGAACTTGCAACTGATTTACTCTGTTCAACATCAATATTTAATGACAACAAATAAAACCTCAGCCGTGATGCGAACACTCGTGTTGAGATTGGCAACCTTGTTCAAGAAATGCGAAATTACAGCGGGACCCAACGTGCATATAGGTATTCCTCGGACACCATAAATGCTCAAATACTCAGGAATTGCACAAATGTTTTCATGACCAACTTGTGAAAATTGGCACCGGAACCAGAATTTTACATATGAACTTTAGTTTTACTGTGACAGAAGAGTTGTAATCATGAACGCTCTACTTCTATTCCAGCAGGTGTAGCCGATGTTTAAAGGACCGTATGACGCTGTTCTGCAACCATCTTACTCTAGAAGTGGGGTAGAGTTGGTTTGATCGTGGATTATGTAATGAGTATGGCATGTTTTTGCCAGGCAATTGGGTGAGTTCACAACCTGGCTTGGTAGAATCACCCAGCAGTCTACTACCAGGGTTACCCACAGCTTAAGAAGTCCGAGATGTTGCTCTTTAAGTGAAAGTAACCTCTAAGTTGGAATGTCAGTAGGGAAAGAATCTACCTTGTATATGTATTGCAGAAGATCCGAGAGTGGGGGTAGCCAAAAATTATGGACTCTAGCTGACTGCTACATCCAACCAGCAGGAGAGCACGCTTAGACAATTGAAAAGCTGCACAAAGTGTACACCGACGTGAAACCAAATAAACAAGTTAATTAAATGGAGGAAGGCCAGCGCTGACATGTATTGCTGCGATAGGATTCAGTGTTGATGCATAGACGAAACGGGGACTTCTAAATCCAACAAACGTTTTACACACCAATTATTACCCCATGTGCACAATCAAGAAGAGGATCTGAGTAGGCAATCTGCAAGGGCTCGACAAGCCCTCGGCAAGTGCACAACTTTGGTAGAAGATGTCTACAAAGTCTTTAGCTCCACGAATTGCACACTTAAATCGGCTTTCCTCAACTTGAAAACCATCGCCACTACATCCTGTGCTATCTTTGCTGTCACGCAAGCACAATCTTCAACCAGAGACCATCTCAATCACCACAGGAGACTGGTCTGTAGTCGGCATGGCTTACATGGTGAACTACAAAGCGAGGCTGTAAGCATGATTCATGTGAGGAAGACCAGGCCGGCAGGGAACAGGCGAAATTCAACGCAGTGAGCAGTAGAAATGAGCAAAGGAGGAGGGATACAGAAATGGTGGTAAAATAGTACTCACGAGGATATAAGGGATGGCTCACTCGGTGGTTGCAGAACGGAATGCAATCGCAAAATCAGGAATGGATTCCAAGATAGTGTCATGGCCTGCAGCAGCAATCTGAATAGTAGGCATGATGGGGATGGAGGGGAAGGACGCAGATGGTGCAAGGGAGGGAAGGAGGGAGGGGCGAACGAACGACAGACAAATTAAAGGTTCAATAAAGAGACTGGAGGGTGGAGGTAGAGAGCTGGAATGGGAATGAGGGGGGTGTGTAGAATAATGGTAGAATGAATGTAAAATATATTATACTGAGGAGGAGGAGGAGGAGGGGGAGGAGGAGGAGGACCAAGAGTACTACTAGTACTACAGTGAAGAAGGGTGAAGAAGGGGCGGGGGTGCACAAGTTCCAAGAGGGCTGGGCAGGGCCACACTTTGTCTTCCATTTCTCCCCAAAATCCCTCCCCTCCCCTCCCCTCCCCTCCCATGCTCTCCCCTGCTCTCTCTCTGTCTGTCTCACTGGAATCCTACTTTCACTCTTTGTTGTTTTTGTGGTTGCTGTTCTTCTTCTTCATCAGCACTATTACCATGACCATTACATTCCCATTCCAGTGGAGTATATGCATGTGGCATCCAGGAAGGGAAGGGGAAGAATAAGGGACCCCTCTGCTGCTGCTGCTGATTATTATTATTATTCTCCCATGTCCTGCCTGGCCTCTCTCTCTCTGTCTCTCTTCTTCCCCCTTCCTTCCTTCCTTCTCCCCCCCCCCCCCCCCCCCCTTTCCCTGACATGGCATGGCACGCCAGGGAAGTGAATGGGTCTGGAGGGAGGGAGCCCAACTGATCTGGAAAACATATATATATATATATATATATATATATATATGTGTGTGTGTGTGTGGAAAACAAAAGATGGTAAAAATATCAATTCATTTGAACATCAGAATATTTAACCACTTTGGTCAATAGCCTCTTCAACATATAGTCTTTATTAAAAAATTAATAACTCATCAATTTTTTGTTTATAAAAATAACCATTTTATCAAAAAAAATTAATTGAAAAAAAGATTTAAATTAATATGTTACATGATGAAAATGAGTAAATTCTTGCATCTATATTTAATCACATATATATATATATATAAACATTATTTTATTTGAAATAAATATAAAATAAAGCAAGAAAAGAATTAGTTGATACATATTTTGATGATTGATTTCAGTACTCTCAAAATTTTATTCTTTCTTACCTCTAAATTATATTTATATTTTTTCAAGATAAAACTTATGTCGTATTACCAAAGATTTGAAACTACATCAAAAATCTAAAAATAACCTCTTTAATTGAAGGTCCTTTGTATATATATGTATATAATCAAAATAAATTTATTTATTGGTAGATATAATTGTACTTTATTATGATTATATAATCGTATATTGAGTATATATATGTATATATATATATACTCTCTGCAAAATGATTTTGCTGTAAAATTTGATGCAAATGTTAAGGCACTAGTGTTGGTGCTCACCAATGGTGGTGCAATTCATCACTGGACTCATGGCATTGCTAACCCTATAGTTGACATTTGTAACACTCCATCCACTCCAGCAATTGGCCAAGGACCCTCTATCTTTGAATAAGAAGTTGTATGGCAATGGGAAGGTGTTAGACATGTTCTGAGATGTAAATGTTATCCTTTAGCTTGCTGGTTGGTACATTGACACATAAAAATAATAGAATTGTTTCTTATGCACTTGGTAATTAGTGTGTGTGAATATTCATACAATCCCTTAGACTAATAGAAACTGTTCATGGTTTGTAGATGTTCTTAATTAAATCATAAACTATAGCTTCCCTTATAATCAGATACTTCCACATGTGCTCCAAGATGGAGCTCAAATTTGCCTTGGAGTCTATTTGGGATGGCAAAACTTAGACTGCCAATCTAGAGCAAGTTGCAAAGGACTTGCCCATATCAATTTGGAAGTAGATGGCTAAGGCTAGAGTGTCAATGATTCCCAGCAACACATTCTCTTACTATGACTAGTAAGACATAAAATGTTCAAATAAGTACAACACTGACTTTATTCAAACTTAGATATTTAAAAAATGATTGATGTTTTTATGTGGAAATTTTATTTTATTTTTTCATATATTGTGTTAAAGAGGAAATTGATTGTTGAGCTTAAATAAACTACATAATTAGTATATATTTAATTTTCTTAAATTTCTATAAAAAATATTTAAACAAAATAATATATTGATTTGATAGGAAAAACTGCTCTACAAGAACATGAGATACTAAAACAAGTGAAAAATAATACTTGATAGAGTTGAATGAAAAATTTCAAGAGAGTGATCTTAATCTATATTAACTGAATTGTATTCCTTAGAATTGTATTTTTGCATCTTTATGCATAATTATGTACATTTTGAAAAATCAAAAGTATAAAAATAATCTTGTTATATTAAAAAGAAAAATTTGATTAACATTTTATTATTATTTTTAAAAATGTAATTTATTGATTAATATCTGCATTCAGAATGGATTTTTTTTATAATATATTCTACTTTTTGTATTGCAATGCTTATACAAATTTTTTTTATAATATATTTTACATTTTGTTTCAAAGCTGAAATGGTATTTTTAGAAATGCGCCATATTACAATTGTGAACACTCGGTGTAAAGTGCATTCAGAAAATATCTCAGCTGTATTGTGCGTGTCCCATCTACATTAATCAGACTGCAATAGTTATTCAACGTACTTTCTTTTTTCTTTTTTCTTTTTTTGTGAGAACAGAGTGTGATGTGATGATTGCTATTCAATCATTTGAAATGGGACTATTGGCTTGTCGATAGTAAAACTAATTGTAGAATGACAAAAGTTATTCAAAACCGCAATTAAAGATTTATAAGCACCATCAAGAGAGCTGAAACACACTATGTTAATGTAAAGCTTACATTCCCCGTGGCTACGCAAGATTACAGCTTTCCAGCCGCATAAATGTCATATTTATTGCAACTTTATAAAGACCTCATTCCAGCTTGCGTTTGACTTTCGGATTAATTGGCTTTTCACTTTCAAAGAATAGATGCCTATCCTTACAAAAAAAAATGTCATACTTGTTACAGTTTTATATCGTCCAACAATTTGAAAGTAGGAAATATGTCCACGGGCACTTGCACATCCTGCAAAGCATCGAAGGACTGTTGCAATTGAGGCGTGAGAGCGGCATATTTCGCTAGCAAAGCTTCTGCCCCTGCTTTGTCTCCTTTCGCTTCTATTGTTAATATTAACCTGCTCAAATCTTCCACGCATTGCCTCACCTGCACAGCACCAGCGACACCAACAAATCTCACACTGCTTCACCAAGACTTTAATTGAACAATGCTTTCCCACTCAAGCGAAATATATATGTACCTTGGTGTAATCAACAGAAAATGTGCCATCTGGATGATACGAAAATCCACCCTTCTCTAGGATGAAGTTGAACTGTAGCGCTTGTCCTTTCCTGATATTCATGACGACCATGATCCCAACATTAGTGGAAGTAATAATTTTGAAGACTTGCTACGTAGCCAGTGTCAATGATGCTAAAGGTCAAGTTTAAGATTACCCATGAGCCTCTTCCAGTCCGAAACGAATGGACCGAAAGCAACCAGCCAAAAAGGAAACGTACATCGTGTTCTCCAAACTTCTGGGCAGCAACCCCTGCAACACAATGCTTGTCAGCAGGTTGAAAAAAGCGAAAGGCAGGTTGCTATCACCACTATTTCGACCAATACCTTTGCAGACAATCAACTATGTAAACATGCTGTTAGATCACCTGGTACTAAATACATCTCAATTCTTTAGAATTTTCAATACATAGTATTGAAGGTTAAATTGTACCTTGTCAACCAGGAAATGCAAAGCCCAGAGTCCTACAATGTCTGCCTTGGCTTCTTCAATCGCGGAATAAACCTCTTGCAGTTCCTGTTAAGTCAAGTCCACGCGTACTTTCAGTAGAGCCAATTCTGGTATGTCGACTAGTCTGGATTGTAAGCAACCATGGCATATGATAGTCAAATGGGGTCAAACCAGGCGAACTGTTGATGCTCGACCATCGGGTGTCACTATGTTATGAGGACCAATCCCGTGACAGCACTCGTGGCAAATTGTGTGAGTAAAAAACGAGTCAAAATCAACAGCTCCCCTTTGCGACGCCTCCACACAAACATTAGCAATTGGAAGTAATATGTAGTCGAACCTGCGGTACAATAATAGAATGGCTCAATTAAAACGGATATTGCAACTCAATCACAATTATTTCCCCGCTCGAAACCCCAGTGACACCTTTAGTATTCACTAATAGTAAATGAACGGATAGACTGCAACGGATTAGAGAAACATAACAGGTCAGGCCTAGTACTTGGCTTGGGAGATATTTTTGAGCATAACCATAGCTGTTCCACGCTCTTTCACAATCCTATCATCGTTGGGCAAATTGAAGGCCACAGTTTGAGGCCCCTTCACGTCCTGCATTGTACCCCGCGATTATTGTCTCGATTTAGTACGAGGTGGACGAGCGGAGAGTTTGCAACATTGACAAGAAGATGACAGTATTATAGATGTCTAAAAGCATACCCCACTGTTGTAGAGCAGTTGTATAACGCGGATGGGAGAAAAGGTGACAGTTTTCGATTTGTACTCGTCATCCATAGGCAGGTTATCTTCCATTTCCTGCAATTTCACACCTCCTAAGCATTTTCTGTCCACATTTCATGTACACTTTATTTCTAGTAAAAGAAAAAACCAAAAATAATAATAAAAGAAAAAACCAAACAAAACATAAGACAAAATATACAATATAGTATATTAAAATATAATATAATGCAGTCTTCCGTATTCATGTAATTAAGAATATTTCATACTATGCAAAATGACAAAATACACCATTCATAAATTCAGAAGAAAAAAAATCAACGCTTAAAGAATCAAAGCCTCGCTCGCACCTGAAGGTTATGAGAGAACAGCTTTAATCGTTGGGTGGCTTCGTCATCCCGAATCCCAATGAAGGCCTCAAATGTAGCCTGCGCGCAAAAAAAGAAAATATTATCTCCATAAGCTGACCAATTAAGTAAACAAAAGTAAACATATCAAAAGCAAAGAATGGTGATTATTGCAAAGCCCCAGAGCAGTAAGAATATGTTAATCAACGAGACTGGAAGAATGGAGCACATAGAAAATACCTTGTAGCCAAAGAGCCCATCTTCATATGTTTCATATGGGCCAATAGTTACATCCAGAGGAGAATCCTATACATAACGGCACACGAGCCATTGTGATAGCCAGAACCATGTTCTGATTCCTCAGTAGGAATATAATTAATTATTTGTTGACTATAATGAAAAACGAACCACAACCACACACAAACATTTCAATAAAAGATGGAAGTAACTACAAAAATACAAAAACTGGTGAGAAGTTATCCACTTACAAAAATAAACTAACTGTTAGCTACGTAAGCAATCAAATGGCAGTACTAAGGGAATACTCATTTGAAATTCATTTATCATACTGATTACAATATTCTAATTAAATGCAGATTCTACAAGCATTAAGTAAAATAAATATCCAATGAGAAAAAGAATAAGGAACACTATTCAATTCAATTTTCTACAACTTCTCAATGAATTACAAACAACGCTGAACTTGCCCTAATAACATGAAACATGGACATATTCAACAGCCATGATGGACAACAAACAACTTATCTTTGAACTAGTACCATATTAAACAATGTCACTGATACTCAGGTTTAAAAAGACATACAAGCTCCATCCAAGCAATATCAGACTCATAATAGTCATTTGATAGAAATGCATCAGCTTTAGCTTTGAGCAGCCGCTTCAAACTGCAACATCCAAACACATGGTAAAAAATAACTTAGCGATTGAGCTCGTTAAAAGTTAAGCACTAACAAGTATTTTAGGTTTCCACTCCAAGTATACATGGCAAACACGAAAAGCAATAAGGGAATGTACAATCAACGCAAAGAATTGGTTAGTTATTCGAATACCTTGGATTCTCTGCAGAGTCCCCAGCTTTGTGCAAGAGATATGAGGCCTCCTTTAAAATTGTCGCATATTCTTTAGAATAGGGTACAATTTTGAGATCATGAACCTTGGCACCATCTGCATCATGAATATCACCTGATCTACGAATGGTTGTGAAGAAGGAAGTGGCATCAGCTTGTTGTCCCTTGTCAAGTCCATCTTTCCAAGCTTGGAATTCCTAAGAGAAATATACTATCAGAAAATACTCAGCGTACGAGTTCTTCATGTCGGGCGCTTACTATGAAAATATTATACAATTTTTACCACGCTAACTTCTCCTGATGCTTAACTATACTTGCAAAAAGGAAAGGAAAGAAGTGGGAACATCTGATGAAAGCCACTCAAGTCTACCTCTTTGTCCATATCTACTGGATAGAAATTTGCACCAGGCGCCTTCTCAACAGGAAATGCTGCCCTGTAGCGAACTTTTCCACCCCACGTGACGGATTCATCAACTGCACCCTCCGCGATTTGAATGGCCGAGTCTGCAGTAGTAAGGAAAGCGTCGTTCTCATCCAGGATTGACCTGCGCAGACACTTTAATCTTCACTATCTTCGTTGGCAGGGCCTATAATAGACATAGCCACGTGCATCAAAGATCCCCCTGTGAGAAAGCTGGTTTAATAGCCATTGCACCGATCCTCCTTTCCAGGGTCCATCACCACATGAAGCACACAACTACTGTGCTAACAACAGCTTTAACAATATTACTTTAATTACGAGGAAGCAGAACCTTGCCGACGCTACTTTCCCAAACACGCATTCAAAAGCCTTCACATGAACAATTTACAACAGAAACATTTTGAGGTGGTAACGACGAGCTCTTCAGTAAGTCGCACAAAATAAAATGCTCAAATCAACATCCAGGAGTATTCAAACTACATACCATGGGCTCTTATTGATCAGGTAATACGCAAACTTCAGCCTGTCCAGCTCTGACTTCCCAGACGCTGCCTGAAGCGAATCTTTTAAAGCCGGATTGGTTGCCCATTCCTGCTCGACAAAGGTCCTGGTTAAAACATTGCTCAAATTTTTGCAACAATTCTAAGTAACGCCATTTCTGATAAAGTTTTCATGAAATAATATTACCTGCTCAAGAAAAATGCGATCCAGCAGTTTTGCAGCACGTATGGTGTCTGACAATGCAAGCAAATCCCCTTTGCTGAGTCCTGTAGTCTGAACAACCATAAACTCAGTTCCCCATGATGGTTTAAGCTCACACGGAGTTTGTTGGAATCCCACAACATAACAACTAAAGTATTGGAATATTCAAAAAGTGACTCATAGGTTGATTATATGACATCTGAACACTGAGAGGTGACCCAAGAGCATGCCACTTCCACATGTGATATTCCATGTTGTAATTCTTTGCAAACAGGGTATGCAAAGTATCAAAAAAAAAAAAAAAAAAAAAACTGATCAGGACATGAAAAGAAGAATATAATTCACATCTTATCAGAAGTGATTAAGCTCAACGCGATTATTATTATGTTATTGAAAGAGGAACTTGAGAAAGGATTTCATCCACGAACCTCTCCGTGAATTTCAACAGGAACATAACGATTGATGTGCATTTGTAATTCTTCAAGTTTAGCACTTGTATCGACTTCGTACCTGAAAGCCACAAATGCAGTCAAGACAAAACTGAATCTTACACACACAAGGTCGAGGAAACGGAGTAAAAAGGCGATTATCTGTTGTCTCACCTTCTTCGTAGAGCCGAAAATAACGCACTGTAACCTCCATCCACATCACATGGTACGTACGAAGAATCCTCCTTTCTCACGGCGTCTTCATAATCTTGCCACTTCATATACTTGACAGCTGATACCTCTGTTTCCTACAAATATCAACCAAAATTCTCGAAACAACCATTCAATCGACAAGTGAAAGAAAGAACCAATCACCTAATAACCTACAATGATCGATGATTCAACTCCGAACAGTCCACTGATTCTTTCGCTTGGCTGCGATTGCCATGAGACGCTATCTTTCCCTCAGACGCAGGTTAAGGTTAGATTATTTGAACCTGAAGGGTGAAAGCCTCCACTGGAATATGGTCCACCAACGTCACAAGGTACACATCATTATATTCGTTGTTGATATACTTGCCACCATTAATAACACTGTGCTCAACAATAACACAAGTCACACTCAGACTGAACACCCAGAAAATAAACTTCCCCAGAATTCTGGCCAAGACTATCCAAGACTTATGAAATACTGAATCCATCGTAAAAACGAAAGATCTCAAAGTACTGCTGTAGAACAATACGTAGCCTTCTGTAGGACGGAATCACAGTCCTCGACAGTATCCTCTGCCCCATCTACAAACGTTTACTTATGAATGTACACGTGTACTATGCATATCCACATAACTAGAGATATGATAAATTCTCCACTAACCATTCTTGGAGATAATCGAACAGAAACTCAAACGCATCAGCCGGCAAGGTGATACCGAGTTCCTCCTGAAGCTCTCTCCTGCCACCAATTCAACAAACTCCGCATCAGAATTTGTCTAAACGAGACTGATTGCAGTTGGACAACTTCAACTCATGTTTGAGTCTCTCTGTAGATGCCAATTCTGTGGCCAAGGGACTAAATAAATCTCAAGCTTACTGTGACTTGCACATTGAGGGATTTGAGATCATGCAACAACAACAACATGGAAATTTTGCGGTTGCAAATTGCAATTATCACCTAGCAGTGAGGAGCGAAGTGTCCCCAGCAGAGATGTGGCCAGCACTAGAAATATCCCACAACCCTGGCCACGAATCCTTGCAATCCGCCCTTTTTTGCAACACCAACTCCTGCGTGCTCTCCACGAACAGCCAGACGTGCACAGCTCGATGATAATCTCCATCCGCATGCACCAAATGCCTTGGCACCCAAAAACCAAAAACCCTTGTAAGCACGTGGACAATGACGGAAAGCTATGCTAAATCAGGACACACAGGGATCAAGGCAGGAGTTCTGGATTCAACGGAAAAGAAACAGAGCAGGACGGAGATTCATCAGATCATAAATACTAATCGAGGAGAATTAACGAACCGCTTCTTCACATCGCCGGTTCGAAGACCAGCAGCAGTGAGGACATCCAGGCACTCGCCCAAAGAAAATTCCTCTTGAAACCCCTCCATCGCGGGGAAAAGGAGCTGGCCAGGATGGGTCAAGGGGCACCACAGGACACGGAGAAGGAACAAAAGGAGAGGAGGAGGAGGAGGAGCCAGGAGGAGCCAGGAGGAAGCCGAGGACTGGGGCAGGGAGAGAGTGGAAGACGACGAAGAAGAAGAATAAGAAGGAAGAGGAATGAACGATAAATGGAGTGTGCGCAGCCTTGAACTCCATCGACGCCATGCCATTTCATCAGGCACCCATACCCGTGCGGTGTACCCCCTTCTCCCGCCCCTCTTCGCCCGCCCCCCCCCTACTTGCTTGCTTCATCTCTTGTCGGGCTCGCTCCTCTCACTCGTGCACCTTCTTTACGTTCCCCTCTCTCTCTCTCTCTCTCTCTTTCTCCCTCCCTCCCTGCACACACGTATCCATCCTTCACCCTTTCTCCTCCTCTCCCTCTTGCACTTGTTTTCTCAATGTTCTCACTCTCTTGTGATCCACCTTCCCTCCCTACTTAATTACAGCCCATTCTCCCATTCCATGGTTTATCCCATGATATTGGTTCCTTCTTTTCTACGCTCATTTACATATCTTTCATGAATTACAACTTAAATATTCTACCAAACTAATAAAACAGATTGTGAAAATCATGATTATTTGATTATGTCAGAATTCATTAAAATGTGCATATTTTACATGTTACAGTTAGTCATGATTGCTTGTGTTCTCATTTAAAGATCCATACGTTTATTCATGCATTTATTTATGTGGCATCTATTCAAATATGACAAGTTCTTAAATCTTATTATTTTAAGTATTTAGAATTAATAAATAAATTATAATCAACTTTCAATGTTACAATAAATTGGATGTAATCAATGGTGTTAGGAAGTCTTTGTACCAGAAAGTATGAATTTAAAGATTATGGTTAAAAAGCCTTATTACAGGCCCTCACTTGATGAAGAAAAACTCTCTTTTAAAAGCTTTGCATACAGTTTTAAATGAAAATAGGTCATGAGCTGCATCAAAACATTTATTTAATACAAGTCTAAATATGTCAATTGAAACCTACATCTAAATAATTATAAAAAAATCAAAGAAACTTCTAATTTTTTTTATTATAAATTTTTATTAATCATTTACATGAGTTGTCAATACTTTTTAAAAGAACCTTTTTGATGGATCCAAAAAAAAATCCTAAGAAAGAACACCATTCATGCCTAGTAAAGAAAACATTCATTTTCTCTTAAGACTATTGGAATAATTTTTGGTAATTATAAAGCCACTGAAGTTAGGACTCTTTATTTTGACCAATCAAAATAGCAAGAAGATTTGACTAGTTATCTAGTCTTCTAAATATATAGATTTAATATATATATATATATATATATATATATATTGGTGAAGAATAACAAACTTTAACAAATATAGAAAGCTTAACAAAACATTTAAAATTTTGAATGATAGATTGTTTGTTAAGTACATTTAATATCGTAAGATTTAATTAAAAAAGAATAAAATATGATAGCAAATAATATGAATGTAAATTATATAAATTAATTCTTTTAGAATAAAATAATTTTAATGGTCTTTGTTAAAAATCACATATAAAAATATTAATAGAAATAAATTTAAAATATAAAAAATATTTATTATATAAAAAATAAGTAAAATTAAAAAATATTTAAATAATATAAAAAAATTATAGAGATTTTATAATTTTTTTGATATTTATTAATAATTTATAATAATATTATTTTAATTTAATATCTACATATTTTTTATCAATAGAATTTAAATATTTTTTTGCAATAAAATTATTTTTCTAATCTAAAATTAAAAATAATACACTTAAGATTCAATACAAAGTTTTAAAATTTATTTTTATTTAAAGACATAATTTTTTATTTAAAATTTTATATAAAAAATTTAAAATATACATAAAATATAAATAAAAAATAAAAATTTAATATATATATATATATATATAAATATTAAATTTTTTATTTAATATTTAACCAAAAAAAATATTTATATTAGAAATTAAACTACGTATTAAATAAATAGTTTAATTAAGTAGTTTAATTAAGTAGTTTAATTAAATAGTTTAATTTCTACATATTTATATTAAGTAAAATATTAATAATTATTTATAATAAATACAAGTCTAAAATATGCCTATATACATATAGTTTAATATTTTGAAGTATTGATTAAAAAAACTATTTAAATAAATAGCTTTAAATGTTATTTTAGCTTCTTTATTCTACTCAAGCTTGTCTTTACAAGTCAAATGTGTAAGTGACATGAACATACATATTTATCTAAATAAGAATTATCAGATTAAAAGTAAATATAAGTAGATTTGATAATATCTTATTGCATAGCTTCTTAAAAGCTTCATAGATATAAATTTGAATTTAGATATGTTTCTAGCTGTTTGATAGGTTAAAAACTTGGCCAAAAAGTTAGCCACATGTCACACGTATTAATAGATTGTGGTGCAAGCTAATCATGTGGCACACATATAGGAAATTTAAGTTGCAAGTTAGACATGTGTCTTGCAAATTAGACATATGTTGGAGATCTTATAAAATGTCATTACATAGCTCCTAATTAGATTGTATATATGGAGGCAAGAATGAAGCCTTCTTCACTCTTGCCAATGCCTTTTTTTATTTAAAGTCTTGTTTCAAGAGACTCTAGTTTTCTTGTCTTTGAAAATAGCCATTTTAATTTAATATTATTCCATCTTTAAGTGATTATCTAAAATATTCAAGTATAATAATAGTATATTGATCCTTAGGTTCTTTGAGATTCATATCCTTGACAATTTAATAAGAATACTAATTCATTGTTCTTGCATTGATTTAGAAATGAAAAAATTATCCCACTTCTATTATCATATTTTAAAAGTTGTGGACTATCCATCTTATAAATTAACAATGATTTTTTTTTAATTTTTTTAATGAGAGTCGACTACCTTTTTTTGTAGAAATTTTCATATAGTATTAGAGGATGCAAATTATCTTCTTTTAATTTGACTTGTAGATTTTTTTGAATTATTTGTAGAAAGAAAAATTATAGATGCTACTCTAGACGAAAGTGAGAATAGATTTGTAATTATTACAAATCTTCATAAGCTTAACAACATTCTTAAGGTAGAAAACTCATATACTTTTAATATCAATTACAGATGTACTATTTCTATGCTTATGGAAGAAGTCAACAATGAAATTCAAAGTCTATGCCAAGAAGTTGTGCAATTGAGAGAAGTAAGTAGATCAAGTTCACAATTAAATCTAAAAAATCTTACTACTACAAGTATAAAGAAAATAATGATAAGTATGCCAAAGAAGTTTTATAGAATAAGATCAAAGTTTTGAAGTTTTTAAAAATAAGTAAAGTTCTATTTAAAGTTGCATCCTTTTCAATATTTTGATGGATTTACTCAAGTTGGATTTATAGATGCTCTTCTATTTGGACATGCTGTCTCTTGGTTTGTACCTTTGATAGAAAAGAATTTAAAACTCTCTTATGATTTAAATTTATTTTTAAAAGGATTTACGGCCATATTTTAAAAAAGTGATAAAAAGAAAAGACAACAAAGAATAAAGTCCTGTCTTTGCTATAAGGATCATGTTGTCATAATAAGAGTGTTAATTTTAGGATAATTTAAGGTTTATGGCTGCAAGTAGATATAATCAAATAATATCTTTCATTCAAATGAACTTTACTACTTCATATTCTTGATAATATAAAGAAGTTGTCATCCTTTCTTTACTCAATTAGGCACTATAGTTTCATACTTTATTAGATTTGAGTATGTAATGATTCCTTGAAAAGCTATTTAATCTATATATATATATATATATATATACATCAAATTTTACTTCTTAAATTTTTGTATAACATATTTTATGAATAAATAAAGCTAATGATCATATTAATAAGAGGCAAGTCACAAATATTTATCCAAAAACTCCCACCATCTTCATATTAATTCTTCTTAATGCAAATAAGAACTTTTTAAAAAGTTAATAAAGAAAAGAATCACTCTTCAAAATCTTTGAACAAAAATACTTAAAATACCATGAAATGATGACCAAAGAAAATCCTAAATAAGATCTTGAAGAATTGTAAGCTTTTATTTTATTCTAAAATACACTCCATCTTTATGCTAACTTTTTTTGAAATAAGTGAGAGCTTTTTGAAAAGCTAACAAAGAGAGAAACCACTTCTCAAAATATTCAAATAAAATACTAAAAACACTCTTAAAAAACCTTCAAAGAATGATTGGGTATATCTAAGGAAAGAAAATCCAAGCAAAGAAAAAAAAGAGAGGGATTCAAAAATCAACATAAGTCTATGTCATTCCACCTCAATCCATGTCTCTTTACTTTAGAACTATAATACCACATTTCAAATCCATACCAACCTATATTAACTTATCTTTTGAGATAAACTATCAATATCTATAATTAACTAATTAACTAATTAAATATATATATATATATATATATATATATATATATATATATTATAATATTTTAACTTATTTTTACATATTATACCACTTTCCAATATAACATCCATCTCCTCCAAACCTATACATCCTTTGGTATGTATCAACCTAAATATCTTTATTTTATTCATTTTCTTCAGATACATCTATATCTTCTATTTAGACCAAATCTAGATTCTTAAAATTTTTAAGATAATTTGAATTAAATATCTTATTTTTTTAAAATAACTATAATTATTTTTTAATCAAAAGTATTTATAGCCTTATGCCATCTAAATTGAAAAGAAAATAGGTGGCATTATTATGTACTATCACCACCTTATATAAACTAAAGCATCTTCAAGTAAACTTTCTAAGAGTGTTATGTTGATGCTCCAAACTACTATCAAATACTAACACTTAATCTCCAACTTCAATTGATTTGTATCTCAAAAAATGAATTTTATCAAACCATTCTTTCTTGCTCAACTTGATAGCTTTTAGTTTTTCTAATGCAATCTTTCAAGCTGTTGAATCTTAAATTCTAATAATCTCTATATTGTAATGTGTGAATCATTAAAACAACTCATTGGTTGTTTTAAAATAAAAATATGTATTTTAAGTGCCAAATTATAATTATTAGGTAAAGATTAGTTTGGAAGATTTTAAATAAAAGAAG